GTTCTGCTGCTACAGGCTTAGACTGCTGGAGGACAAACTGACCACATTTTTTTCCACTGTCTTTACTTACTCTGCTCAATCTGCTTTGTATTTGTAATTATTTTTTTATCCTTAACGTGTTTTGTGTCTTTCAGGTTCACCTACACCTACATCTGGACCTACATCTGGACTTACACCTACACCTACATCTGGACTTACACCTACACCTACATCTGGACCTACATCTGGACTTACACCTACACCTACATCTGGACCTACATATGGACTTACACCTACACCTACATCTGGACCTACATCTGGACCTACACCTACATCTGGACCTACATCTGGGCCTACACCTACACCTACATCTGGACTTACACCTACACCTACATCTGGACCTACATCTGGACTTACACCTACACCTACATCTGGACCTACCATTCTGTGTTCGTCTGTCTCTCCTTCCTGTCCTCTCAACCAGCCGGTCAAAGCAGATGGTCTCTCGTCCTGAGCCTGGTTCTGCTGGAGGTTTCTTCCTGTTAAAAATGAGTTTTTTCTTTCCACTGTCTCCACTGTGCTTGCTCAGGATGGGCGACTGAGACCAAGTGAAGATTCATCTTGTCTGCTGGATTCCTTAGATAGAGAACTTTACTAATTGTCTTTTATGTGAATGTTCCTGTAAAGTGCCCTGAGACAACTTTGTTGTGATTTGGCGCTTTATAAATAAACTGAAGTGAATTGAATTCAATCTCGTGAAAATGAGTCCTTGTGACAAATAAAGGTTAAATAATAATACATTTAAATCAACAGTTTTGAAGTAGAAAAAACTGCAGAGAAATAAAGGAAACTTTCGGGCCTGGATGAACTTTATTAATTTAAACAAATGTTTTAGGTAAAATAAAAACATTGAGGAAGAGGCTGAAGGAAAACTTGTTTACCTCTGCGTGTTGTTTGTCCTCCTCCTTTGCACTTTTAACACAAGCTGCTTTGCTTATGTTGGCACTCTAAAAGGATATAAAAGAAAAATACTTTAGACTTTAAAAGCTCATTTACATCAGTATCAGGGTCAGATACTTTTAATAGCAGCAAAATCTTATAAACTGACGAGTTCACATTTCTGCTTCATGAGTTTTTAAGTTAAACATTTCATCAATAATTACTGCACAAATTGTTTTAAGAAGATTCTGTCCAACATTACCACAAAATACAAACTGAGTATGTCATTTTTTAAATGCTCCATCTTTACAGTACAAATACAAATCTGAAGATTTGGAGGAGGATCACCTCTTTGTCGTCGCTTTTTGTCCGGCTTTCTTTAGCGAGTCTGTGTTGTTTAAGTGCCGACGTCAACGCCTTGAACATGTCTTCGTTAAATGGAGGAAATTCTGCGGCGTTTTCAAGCTTGGCAGGAGCTGCGACTGAACTGGTGGCAGCGGACGCAGCGGGGATGGTTTGTTTATCTGCGGACGTAACAGATGGTGACGGCTCTTCCTTCACGTTTTCACTTCCCTCAGGAGAAGCGGTCACGTCTGCAGCGACCTCGGTTTTAAGCTTCTCGGTCTCATTCACATCTGTGTCAGCTGACGCCACTTCCATAGAATCAGAAAAGGCAGATCCAGCTGTGGTTGTTGGTACTGGACAAACAGGAGGTCTGTCTTGCAAAGCAGGTTGTCCTTTAAGTTCAGGAGGCTGCGAACAAAAAACAGAAAAACTAAGTTTAAAGTGCACAAACTAACAAAAAGCCACAGAAAACGGGAATAAAAACTACCGGATTTTTCACCGTAAATGTCGCTCCGCCCTGTAAGTCGCATCAGTCCAAATATGTCTAAGAAAGTGGAAAAATCCATAAATACGTCGCTTCGCCATTTAAGTCGCATCTATTATGCGTCACCGCTGAAAAGCTGGTGTTGTGCCAACAATCGATTGGCTGCCAAATGGGGCCGCAGGAGCGTTAACGAGAGGACTCAACAAGAATTTGACAAGATTAACACTTAAAAATAATTACTTGTTTGCTCGACATTATAGTAAAGGTGTGTCTCAGTTGAACTTTTTCTTAATAAATACACTTTAATAGTCAAATCAGCTGCATTTCGCCGGGGTGGCGCAGCTAAATGAAGCTGATTTGACGGTTGCTCCAGGTGAGCTGGACGAAGGTGGGAGTCTAATAGGGCAAGCCGATTACCTATTAGATGACACAATGGCATGCCATACTGCTCGAGTGCCATCTAGTAGTTGAAAATGGTAGTGTTCAATATTTTCAGTCAGAATGAATGAAAACGGTCATATCTCAGCCACTGGTTTATAAATATGGGAAAAATCCATAAACACGTCGCTTCAGTGTATAAGTCGCAGGGCATGCAATTTATGCAAAAAACTGCGACTTATAGGACGAAAAAACAGAGTTGGTCTGGTTGTGTGTTAAATATCAGTCTTTAAGTTTAAAGATTAAGATTAAATCTGAGCATTATCAATCTGAATGTTCTGTAGATACACGATCAAAGTACTGTAGATGTAAAATAAATAAATAAATCTGAGTGTTGCTCTCCTTTTTGGCCTTCTACTGCTAAATTACTTTATTATTAAAATTAATTTTACCGTAGTCGTTTTAGCTGCCACACGTTACCAAATTAGCTTTTGAATTTATTTATTATTATATGGATAATAGAAGTAGTTTGTGAAAACTTACTGTTGCCATGGCAGTTTCCATCTGGACGCAAACTGCAAAGAAATTTTTGGGAAAAATATTTAATACACAAGCTATAAATTATGACTGCATGGAAAAATTCAATATCTTGGACTTCTTACCCTTTTCTTCTTGTTGCTGATGCTTTTCCATCTCAACTTTTACTGCTGGGATGGTAACAGGAGGAGCATCCAACATGGCTGTGGCCGGTTGTGGACTGGGTGCTGCTGTTTCGGCAGCTACGGATACATCAGGCGATGAAGCAGAAATTTTGCTGACAGGTTCTAGTGCTGGATACTTTTCAGTTTTTACTTCAGGGACAGGATCTTCAGAGGGGAGAAAAATCATTTTAATAGACGGCTGCATTCTGAATGATTTCCCACTATAACTAAAGATATTCCAAGGCTTTATTTGGACAAAGAACCCATTTGAATTCAGCATAAACTTCAGGACCAGGACTTGCTGGACTTGACAATCCTTCATAAGGTTCACACATCAGTCTGTTACTGTGGCCAAGTTAAAGAGGTACACTGCGCTCCATTAACCTCGAAATTAAAACTTGGGATTTGGAAACGGCGAAATAGTTTAACCACATTTCAGCTGCAAGTCAGAAAACCAGTTGAAAAAGTTTTGAACGGTGTCATCAGTGTTTCTCCTACCATTATACAAGCAGGGCGCCCCGCCCTGCCAACAGAACTGAGCGCCCTGCCAAGGCAAGTAATCTAAGGGAAACACTGGTGACCTAACGAAAAACTATTAACTACAGTTAAAAGACAATACAGCCCTGGAACAAATTATTAGGCCACTGATAACTTTTTAAATCAGCATTTCTTCCAGATTCCAGGGGAGATGTGTCTCCCCACATTAAAAAATATTCATTCAGATCCCCTCCACATTTACCATGAAATATTAGTTCACCCAGCGGTGTTTCTATTTCTTTGTGAATGAATCCATTCCACTTGATTAATAGAATACTCAAACCACTAAAAATCCACTCCAGGTTTTCCTGGTTACCGACGACGACTTCACACTGTATGCAGTGTTTCTCCAAGGTCATGTGCCTTGGCAGGGTGTTCATGTGGGGAGGAGGGGGAAAACACCTCTGCTTTGCACGCTAGCTTAGCGCCACGTTAGTGCTGGCAGTTGCTGACGGGGGTGGGGGGGTAGTATGTGAGAGAGAAGTGGAGCACTACGTCTGTAGCATCTTAGTTAACGCTTCTGTATTGTGCGCCGCTAGCTTAGCGCTACATTAGTTCTTGCGGTTTTCGATGTGGGGGTTCACGCTAGGATGCTTGAGAGAAATGGAGGGTGCTCTATTCACACAAGGAGAGCTGTTGGTCAGACTACTTCTTGATGAGCTCTAAAATAGTTCTTGAATCAAGTGTTTACTTATGTAGGTAAACATAGATCTTTAACAACCTGTTAAAATACACCAGAATGCAGGAAATGACATCTACTTTATTCAGAATTTTCTGGAGGAGGTCCCACAGACCCAACTCCCCATCCCCAGCGTGTCACCCCCATTACTGATTACAGCGTGTCCCTCTGCTACAAATGCTTCTGATGCCAGTGATTTCTATGATTGGCAGCAGTTGTGTTGAATTCCAAAACAAGCACACCTCTACATTAGATGATCATCTTTAACCTTTTTTTTATGAGGAAAAGTATAGAAACCACTGCAGTTGACATGATGCACTTTTTGGAATAGAACCAAAACTAGCAGTAACTCAAAAGTACCTAGAATAAAAAAATAACTATTAACCATGCCTAAAAAATTGAAAAGAAAATATTTGATTAAGGAAGGGGTTTGAATTTGGCTTTACTGGCAGAGGGATTTTGCCTCTACGGTTATCAACAAGATGTTGGAAATAAAGAAAGTGGAGAAGAATTTGCACAATTATTTTTAAGATAGATCGTCTGTATAG